CCAGATCCATGACAGCTAGAATGATATATGAGTTACAGCATCTTGCTGAAATAGTCAAACACCTTTTGATTTTTCCACATTGTGTGTGTTAGAATTGGTGAAAATCAACTGAATTGGCAGTGGTATCCCTTGAGGTATGCAGTATACTCAACACTGTATAAATGTTTTACAAGGTATTTATGATTGTGAGCCGCCCCGAGGCTTTGGCGAATGGGGCGGCATAGAAGTTCCATAAATAAATAAATAAATAAATAAATAAATAAATAAATAAATAAATAAATAAGCAAGCAAGCAAGCAAGCAAGCAAGCAAGCAAGCAAGCAAGCAAGCAAGCAAGGTATGCACTGTAAAAGCGTTTTACAAGGTATTCCTCTCTGGAATACGCTCCCCAAAGAGTTCTGCCTGGCGCCATCATTATATGTTTTTCAGCGCCAGGTCAAGACCTTTTTATTTAATCAATATTTTAATATGCTTTAATATTGAATTTTATTGTTGTATTTTTTAATTTGCAGCCAGTGTGGATGGCCAATTTATTTATGTTGTAAGCTGTCCAGAGACGTAAGTAATTGGATGGCATATAAATTTTATAAATAAAAAGTGCAACCTATTTTTATTACTGCACAAAATTAAGTAAACAAAAACATGACATTTCTTGTTTACATAAGTATTTTCTTCTCTGAGTCAATACTTGGTAGAAGCACCTTTGGAGGTAATTGCAGCTGCAAGTCTTGTTGGATAAGTTTCTTTCAGCTTTGGATACCTGGATCCTGCAACATTTGCTCATTTTTCTTAACAAAATTACAGCTCTTTCAGATTGGACTGTTGGTGAACAACAGTGTTCAAGTCTTGTCACAGATTCTCAGTTAAACTGAGGTCTGGGCTTTGACTGAGCCATTTTAAGACATCCAGATTCTAGTTTAACACACACACACAGAGTCCAGTGTTATTTTGCTTGTGTGTTTAGAGTCACTGCCTTGCTGGAAGGTGAACCTCCATCCCAGCCCCAGTTCCCTTGCATACTAGAAAAGCTAGTTTCCTCTAACATTGCCTTGTATTTGGCTCCATTTATCTTGCCTTCAGTCCTGACCAGTGTACCAGTCCCTGCCAAGAAAAAACACCCCCACAATAGGATGCTGCCACCAGCATGCTTCATTCACCATGAGGATGCTGTTCTCGGAGCAATGAGATCATTGGCTTTGTACAACACACAGCCCATTTGCAGCAGGGCCAAAATGTTCAGGTCTGGTCTCATCAGAACAGAGAACCTCTTCCTACGTGTTTGCTCTGTCTCCTGTCAGCCTTTGATATGGGTTTGTTTCAGCAATGGCTTTCTTCTTGCCACTCTTCCATAAAGCCATCCAAGTGATACTTTCCCATTAATACTTTCTCCCATCTCAGCAGGACATCTCTCCAGCATTTTGAGACACCATTGGCCTTTGGGTTGCTTCCCTGAGTAATGCCCTCCCGTATCCAGTAGCTGAGTTTTAGTTGACACCCTTGTCTAGACAGAGTCATGGTTAAGCCATATACTTCAGTTTTGTAACCATGCATTGAGCAGTGCCCTGGAGAATGTTTATACTTATTTTTTGGTATAATTAGTTGGATTTTTCCCCTAACCTGACTCTAATTGGTGCTTCTGCACAACTTTACCCTGGAATTGTTTTGATAGCTTCTTGGTCTTCAGTATGCTCTTTAATTAGATAAGCTCTCCAACAGACTTTGGGTTCTTCCAGAAACAGGTGCATGTGACATTGAACTTGTACACAGATGGTCCCCATTCAACTATTTAGAGTATGTGACTTCTGGAGGCAGTAGGCTGCACCAGAGTTTATTCAGGCATGTCACAGCAGATCGGGTGAATTCTTATTTATTATATTTATTTATATCATCCCTGGTAATAGAACAAGGAAGAAAGATTCAGAATCTAGAGGGGAAACAGTTGGAGAAGGGAACATGACGTCTTGGGTAAAGATGTTTCCTATGCAAGTTGCTAAAGGGTAAGCCCTTATATTTGATTAAAAACATCTTACCTCTAACCTAAATTTTGCAAGCACTTTATGTTAACGAAACATGGTGCAATGCCGTAATCAGTGTCAATTTGGGGCAACCCCTATGTTGTCACATATGGAGGTAACCATCCTCAGCAATGATGTGGCCCACATCATAAAAGGAATGCCTCTTGCTTCCCCCTCCTTCCTCTTGCCATTCTTCCTCCTTGTCATCTTCGGGTTTTTCCCCTCCCATTCTCAAGCATTTCAAGATTCCTCCAGTCCACAAGAGAGTAAACAAGTCAAATATGAACTAGGACTCAGACCCAGACTGTGTATAGTGGATTTACATTGCATAATAAAACCAAAGAACAAATTCATTTGTCCAGGCCATAGTATAAACAAGGTATTTCATGACTATGACAGGGATATGAAAAGCCGTGAAATTCCTAAAAAAAAGGCCTGCCCTCCACAAGGCATTGGAGACTTCCCTGCCTACTCCCTCCACTGAAAGCCTGCTCCTAACTGCCCACTGAGAACTCCAACAGCTTTTGACCTCTCTTGCCACTTATTTGCAGCACCTGACAGAATCAGTGCCTTTGTGAGGTAGAGCGACAGTTGCTAGGATATCTGGAGCTGCAGTCAGACAAAGGGCCCAGTCCTGAGTTAATGCAAGGGTCCACCTTTGGTGAGAGCAGTGCGAAGAATCCTATAGAGCTTGGTGTGACTGTCCCAAAACAACAGCTGGGCGATCTTCACAAAGAGGCTGAGACGTCTCAGCCTCCGGTAATTGCAGAAAAGGAACAGGGCCAGAATTCTTAACCCCTTTTGCTTATCCTGGCAGCAACATGGGCTATTGGATGCAAGGCCTATGTCAAAGATGGGAGACACATTTGTCTTTAGGAGAGACAACCATGAAGTGATGACAAATGTTGTCAAATACGTTGATGAAAATAATAGAGATGGGTTAGTGGGTTGGGATGGGCCAGTCAACAAAGTACATTGGCATTAATGATACTAACTAAATATTCCATGAAACTGCATCTGTAAGAAGTTTACTTTATGGCAATTCCCATACTGTGTCTTGCCCTGTCTCTTCCTTGTGTTTTCTTTTTAGCTATTTCAGGGTGAGTCTCAGGTATTTGTAATACTTTATAATATTAAGATATTTATCAAAAATAATCTTTCTATTCAACCGACACTGTTTTTTCCTGTCATAAGCAATGGTTAAAACTACAAGACAAGATGTCATAAAGAAATGAAGTAGCTACTTGCTTTTGCATGTTGCACTTAAGCAAAATTGCACTATTATTTAAATCCACTTATCAGTGTCTTTCCGAGTACTGCAATCCAAACCAGAACCCCACCCTACATTTCCATTCAGCAGCTAGGGAACCCTGGACCCATTTGGGACAAGACTACTTTTGCATTTCCCAATTACAGCTGAATTTACCTCAGGACACAAAATCCAAGCCCATAGCATAGCTAACAGCAGCAGTAAAAACATAGTGAACTTATCAGTGGAAGAATTTTGTAAGTCATACATTTAAGAAAATCTAAAAGCACCTTCCTATGTAACTCATCTATCCACCTGTCCACTATTATCACTATCACTCATCTATTACCCTTTTCTATATAAAAGTCCCACCAACAGCAGAAACCATGAACCTCCAAGGTTCCTCCCCCTCTCCTCCCCCCCTCCTCACAGTCACTTTCATCCTAGCCCATTCCTGCAATTCTAATAGTTTGGATGAATAGACAGAGTGCCCTTCACAGCTTGTCCAAGACATTCTCAAGATCTAAATAAAATCATTATCTACATACTAATCAGTCCTTGCCTCATAGAATGGGTGGTTAAAGCATGGCAAAGGAGACCTTCTGAAGATTTAACAATGAAAGTTCACAGAAGGTTTCAAATCTGAATGAGTGAATGGGAGCAGATTAATTTGAGATTAAATTCACAAGGAGCTAGAACTGAAGAGAATTTTCACATAAAATATGTGTTAGGAGAATCTTTCCTATACTAACTAGTCACTTTGAAAGGCAGCAAACACCACCATAATCCTTAGTACTCAGAAATAAACCCCAGTGGAGTTTAGTGTCCAGTAAGTGTAATAGTCTAAACTATATTGTGATGAATCAAATATGAGTTTCCACCTAATGGAAGTAGTCCATATCACACAGAGACACATATCACAATCTGCAGCTGCCAAGTGAGGAATGAAAACATCTATACTTTCATAAGAACAAAGCTTTATCCTAGCAGAGGGAGGCTTCAGACATTCAAAGAGAAACTCTTAGTCCATGCTTCCTCTGGGCAGTCAAGCTGCCACTTTGAAAATTGCTGTTGTATATGATTTCTAGCATATAAAAGAGTCCTATGAGATGCTACTGCACCGGAACACAGTTCCCAGGACTTTCTTGGGAGCTTCCTGGTGTTCCTCGATACTCTTTACAGAAATATTCAGAGAAAGCTTGTAAGAAAGAACATATTATCTTCTGCTCCTAATCTTTCCATGGAGACCTAAGCAGAGTCTATTCATGTACAAAAACTAAGTACAAAGTTAAAGTTTCTAAAAAATGACACAGTGAGGGAGGCTGCCTTTTGGCAGGGTTCCCATTAATGCAACAGGCTTTAGGATGCAAGACCTTGCAAAGCACAGCTGCAGTGCAGTGTTGCACATGAGTGCTTTTGTACACTGTGTGACGATAATAAATGGTGCAAGAGGCCCAGAAAACATCCTGCATGAACTGATAATACTCCCTAGAAATCTGAGCAATTCTCATTGACTCCATGGCATGCACATTTAGTCATCACTGGACCAACTCATGGGAATCCTGGGAGATGGAAAACTTTTTTCCTCTCTACACATGCAAAACATTGCATCCTAAAGCTGAACCTTCACATTAAGGACAGCTCATTTTCTTCACTAGTTAATTGTGATGTGCTTTTTCATATTTACCAGGCAAGGCTGAAAAAAATCTTTCTTTTTTTCTCATAGGCAGAGTAATTATGCCACAAACAGACAAACAAGTATGCATCCCACCAGAGCTTCCAGATTTGCTGAAGCAGTTTACAAAAGCTGCTATTCGGACCCAGCCTCCAGATCTGATACAATGGGCTGCCGAGTGAGTTAATATTTTCTTTTAAAACAATTTCACTTAAATCCAGTATTATACTTGTTTACAGGTTGTTCAGATGTAGGTCTACTTGTGGAATTCTAAGTCTGAGGTGTCTTGCTGTGTGTGCTTGGGCCTGCTGCCAACACCACCACACCGCTTTTTCAAAGTGGATTTGTGTTGTACATAAGGTATTAATGAAGCTTTCATTACAGAGGGGAAAGCATTATTTTATAAGGAGTTGCTCAAGCTTGCCACAAAGATCTTTGGTTCAGTGAAGACATTCAGGGAGGGGAAAAGTAATCCTAGAACAGTAAATATGAAATCATAAGGATTTATATCCTTGTAAAGTAATTGGAATATAGACCCGGAGTGACATTCAGCTTTCACTTCCCTGTATGTAATGTCGACAAAGGCTTCTTGCTAAGAACACAAGCTAAATAGGCATCTCACAAAGCTTTAATAAGGAAACAATATTATCATCATACGTTACCTTCCATTTAGCTTTCAGAGAAGAGGCAGATACCTTTAAAGGGTCTGGGGGTCACTCCACAGGTGGCCCAATTCCTGCTGCCATACTGCTGAAAATCAGTGCTGGCAACCCCCTGCCAACAGTTTCTAACTGAAAGTGGGTGGTAACAGAGGCTGAAAAGGGAGCAATTGAACTTATTGTCAAGCTAAATAGACTCCATTTTTTAGACTTCATTATGATTTACCACCTACTGCCTCATCTCTGAAACTGTAAAGAAGTTGTTTGCCTTTTTTCATCTTCAGTGACATTTTATAATTTGGTATGTTTTATTCAGTAAAGTAATTATTTTTCCAGATGTGGTTTTATTTGCTTGATTTTCTTGAGGTATAAATATCATGTATATTTATTCTATATGAATATTCTGCCTTTCCTCTATAGAAGAAAGTGTGTTCCGTGTTGTTTCCAAGTAGCTTTATTTCATTAATTCATTCATTCATTCATTTTTATGACTTCTCCTATAGTTGAAACTTTCAGAATGATATACATAATGCAATAAAATACAATAAAACAATTGATAAAAGTTGAAGATAATTTTTCAAGCACTAAACACCCATCTTGACCCATCACTAACAAGAGCTACACCATGATCTTTCAGACCATGTCCTATGTTTTGTCCCACTAAGGCTTGATTTGTCATGTATACCTTTTGAAAATATGCAGTATACATTCCAATCATCAAGTTGCTTTTATAATTACAGCTGTTGATAAATGCAAACACCTGTTTTGTCTCTTATGTAGCTATTTTTCTGCCATGGCCCGGGGGGGAGCTTCCCCCGGGAAGAGAACGAGCAGATCGAGTACCTTTATCAACCTGGGCAGAGCTTACTCCAGAGCTCTTGAAGGTCTTACACCAGAGAGTAAGAAACATCTCCTTTCCATTTTTGGGCAAGTACATAAGAGGCTTGTGTGTTCATAATGCATAGGTTCTCTGCTATTTTATGCAACTCTTGGATGTGGTTCACATAACTGTCTTTAGTATTATGTTTTCTCATTCATTTGCAAGATAAGATGCAAACAGAAAGCATATAATTATACAAGTTGGTGACTGGGGAAGTGTTATAAAACGGTTGACAATTTAAAAGATTCTCATGGTTCTTCAATATTCCTTTAATTGTATGCCCATTGAGCCTAACTGCCCAACCCTCCAGACATAAACAAGCTTTTTTTTTTTGCACATTTCAGTTCTAAAAAGTGAACACATATTAAAATGTAATAATTGGTAATTTGCTTACCTGAGTGTACATAAAGCCATATAGGGAACTACAACCACCTACAGAAGAATAATTTTATCATGCCATTATTACTAATAACAAGTGTGGGCAGACAGCATAGAAAAGTTCTCCTCACTACCTGGATAGATACAGCAGCAGACTAGAAATTGAGCCCTTAGTCATCTATGGTCAAGAATAGTCCTGCATTAGTTAGTACCAATTACCAGAAAAATGGGTAGCCTGAAACATATGACTTGTTATGTTTAATCTCAGCCTAGAAGTACTTCACTCCAAAAAGGAAAAATACTTTCCAAGCCTGATTGCCTGTTGCTTGTGCTTACATGGGTTGAAGCAGGGGTGCTGAACTTCAGGCTTTCAGGCCAAATTCAGTCTGCCGGGATCTCGGTCCAGAGGGCCATGCCTTTTCCCAGCTGCTGATCAGTTAGTGGTTTCACATGCATCTCTGCCTATATATGTTCCTTTCAAAAACCATGAAGAACTCTATTGAAAAAAACCATTTTAAAAGTAATTGGGGTTCCTGTAAAAAGGGCTTGCAAAGCCACCCTATTAATGTCTTGCTCAAATCAAATCCCCCACCCCCAAATATTCTTTTTGCAGTAAGGGCAGATTTTTTTTAGGTTTAGGTGCCATGTAGGGTTGAAGGTTTTATTGGAATGAGAGAAAGAATGGTTAATTCTTTCCTTCCAAACTTCAACTCAACTAGAACCCTCCTTTCCCTTGCATCATAATTAAAATGAGAACAAACCCTCCAATGGGTGAAGTGTTTTTTCTAAATTTCATTGCCCATGTGCTGTTTGGGGAGGGTGCAACTCCAGGGGGAGGTATGATTAACCCTTCCCTCCACAATTGTGATTCCCCTGAAATCACTCTCCCTTCTAGGAATTAAGCTTTGAAAAAAAGAGTCAATTGGCATTAATCCACACTCCATGCACTTGTAAATAGATTTAGGGCCCTGGAAAATAGGTTTGGGTCCAGCATTCTTGCTCTAGGAACAGTTCTGGTCTGCTGAACTTGTAAGCACACCATAATAGCAGAGTGAGACACCTTTACATATTTTCTGCAATTGGCTTGGTAGCATAATATGGAGCCTCCCAAAAGGACAGCCCTGAGAATGCGGTCCCAATTTTTCCCCTGCCAAAAATATGTCCTTGGTAAGGTAAATTCCTTGTCATTACACAGAATTAAAGAGAAAGCTCCTCTATTTTGGCCAGTTCAGAATTGTAAGAAACCCTGACACAAGAAGCACCTGAAGGAAAATAATCACTGGGTCAACATTTTTCTGAGGGTGAAGATCAACTCTGTAGGAGGGAAGGGGCACCAGCCCATGTGGGCTTCCAGGAAAAACACTAGAAGTCCAATTTGTATGCTATGTGCTTGGGACTTACCTTGTTATTCTAACCGATAGACTCAGCCTACCTTGGTGCTTTTGCTTGTGCTGGGATAACAGAAAACAATAGAAATATTCAGTAACTGAAATCTGATTTGTTCATGAAGCCTGTAAGAGTGCAGACCTATGGGTTGGGCCCTTGATGATGGTAAGCCCCAAATTCAGGGGCTTGTAGGAACAGTGGTGGACCTCCTATCTCTCTGTCCTGATTTTTTTGCTGCATTTTTCATCCTGTCAAGCAAAGGTATTTGAGAGGATGATCCAGCCTCTCCAGTCTCCTTGACTACCACTGAAAGGCCCCACTTCCCCTAATCTAAGTTTTAATTCCTGTCCTCGGAAGTCACCCAGCACACGTCTTTCTGCTCTTGTGCAAGGGGTTTGGATCTTCCACTCCCTTCTCTGAGGTCAGACCACTGGGGAACCAAACTATCCTGTGGCCCCTTAGACACAGTCCAGAGGCTGTATTGCTTCCTAAATGGTTAATTTTTTTCTAACTGTTCTTCTGACTATAAAATTCATTCATTTTACAAATTCTTAACCACTTGATATGTTACATATATGTATGCTGTATGTTTATTCTTTGATGTAGGAGATCTGTGTACATTACTGACTCATGATATGCTTCTTGTTTTGTGCTTGTGGCACATTGTACTAGTCTGAGATACAGTAAATTAAAAGCAGCTGCATGACCTTGTTTCATCATTGGGGGCTACTTTTCTGAGTTAGAATTCCACCCCCACCCCCATTTATGCTGTTTGTCATCTCAATACTTAAATCTCAGTCTCATTGTCAGGCACATCTATAAAATATATCAATATATTGGCAAACTGATACAGTGGTACCTCGGCTCACGAGCACCTTGGTTCACAAACAGATCAGGTCACAAACAAACATTTCATTAAAATTTTGACTTGGGTCACAAACTTCGCATTGGGTGGCGACCAAGATCGCAGCCACCTCCCCCCGCCCCGAGTGGGGAGATGGCCCCGATTGCAGTTGCTTTCGTGTAGGGAAGGTGTGCGTAATCACAGGCGTGCTCCTGCAGGAAAGACGGGCACCATCTCAGCCATCTCCCCCGTGGCTGTGCTGAGTTGCACTCGTCTTTCCTGCAGCAGTGCGCCCGTGATCTCACACATCTCCCCTGCATGAACGGAACTGCAATCGTGGCCATCTCCCCACTCGGGGGCGGGGGGAGGTGGCCGTGATCACAGTTGATTTCGTGCAGAGAAAGTGTGCGTGATCACAGGCATGCTCCTGCAGGAAAGATGGGCGCAATCTCAGTCATCCCCCCCTCAACAACCAGCATGAGTGGGGAGATGGCTGCAATCGTGCTGGGGGCGGGGGGGGGGGAGATGGCCAAGATTGCGCCCGTCCCTCCCTCCCCCAGCATGCCTCGTTGGCACCCATCTCTCCACCCCCCAGCACGCTGGGATGACGGGCACGATTTCGGTCATGCTGGGCAGGTGGGGAGATGGCCGAGCCTGTGCTCAGGGTGTGGGGGGAGATGGCCATGGTCTTTGTTGCTGTCACTTTGCTTCACATTTTTCTGATTTAAAAAATGGTTACAGAATGGATTAACCTTATTTACAATTAACCTTATGGGGAAATTTAACTTGGCTCAAGACCAATTTGGGTCACGACCAGAGTCCTGGAACAGATTAAGTTCGTGAGCCAAGGTACACTGTATACCCAAATGATCATTCATTCCTATTCCTAGCACAGAACTGGAAAGGGAATAATTGCACCCTGACTACTTCCTTTCTGGGAGTAATTCTGCAAGAGCTCCTTGTTGCAAAGCAGTGGCATCCTTAATGCAATCCTTGCATACCCACTAACAGTGCTGCATAATAGGACATTTCTGACCCATTCATTAGTGTGACACAGCAAGCAGACACAGCCCCAGAAAACAAAGAATGCAGAAGCATCCCAACGTGCTTAATTATATCTCAGTCCTGTGATTGCCTCATAATATGTCTTCTCTAGAGTGAGGATGGACAACTTCTAGGGACTTGATGGCAGCCATGAACCGCAGCAGAAACTACACCCCTTCTGTCGCTATCTTGCTGCTGCTAGGATACTGAAAGTCAGTCGTGCATCAGCACAAAATGAAGTTCCTTTTTGAAAGAAAATTGATGGTTTGCCACTGAAAGCTCTTTTGCTTTAAAATTGTTTCTTTTTTTTTCCCAGCAAACCACCAATCTTCCTTAGTAAAAAGAGATCCCACCACCACCACCCTGCCCGTCCTTGGTACCATGTTGCTGAATTTCAGTGATGTAGCAGTGGTTGGGGAAGTAAGGATCCCAAAGGCTGGAGTAATATGTTGCCTATCCCTTCCATAGAGTAAGCAACATGTTTACTGTCCCTGCAACTGAATTATTGCTGAAGGTGACCAAATGTATATCAAAAGTCACAATAATTTCTTCATTTATTATAAATATTATTATTTCTTTTCAGGTGGGTGGGAGGCTGATAGTCCACGTAGATGAATTAGCCCAGATGTGGAAAGTGCTCAATCTCCCTACGGATTTGTTTGACAGTATTATGAATGTTGGGCGTTTTACTGAAGAAATTGAATGGCTAAAGTTTTTAGCTCTGGCCTGTAGCTCTCTTGGAGTAGTAAGTATCCTGTTTCTTGAATTTCCAACCTGCATGTATTTTTCACATAATAGCTTAAATTTAATGGGCCCGTGCCATTTTGAGTCTGGTGGTGGACAATGCATAATTTACTAATGACAGGAAGAAGCCCCAGTGCAACTGTGCCCTGAACAACACATGGACCACCAACCTAAACGTATCTATTTGGTCACATATTATGGCATACTAGCACTGCCTTAAATGCATTTATGGGGGTTTTTTGCAATCACAAACAAGAAGCAAAAGTAAGGCTTATTGAGCTGTTCTGTGAAGATATCACCTGGGTATAATACAGAAGAGTGCCTTCATTTCCTACAAATGATTAATCTGATTGCACTTAAGCCTAACATAGATACCTTTAAGGCAGTATGAAATAAGAACAAAGCAGTAGAGACACTAGACAGGTACCACTTCAGACACCAAGTGTGTGTGGGGGGAGGTCGCTTTTTAAATTATTTTGTTGCATTAAAAAAGCTCTCAACAAATTAAAAAATATATAAAGCAAGGATGTACTGGTCTACAAGTTTTCTCCTTGGAGTGCTAGTTTTCTTCTTGGAAGGAAGTTTGTTCATACTGGAAATGTTCAAAAATGGCCTTTTCAGTTTTCTGTCTGAATTGGGCCACTCTACGGAACAACACCAGGATTGTCTAGACTAGGCCTCAGATTAAATATGTAGAGGGCATGCACACATGCATGCGTACATGCATAGAGCACCTAGTGAACAGGAAAAGGCTTGTGATTCAGTGCTGACCTCAGTTTATTAAAGCTACTTCTAAGCCCCCACCCCACTTGAGGGCAATTTATTACTCCGCCGAAAAGGGCAGATGCACAGGATTCCAAGTGAGTTTAATCACAGGTTTCTCTGCACTGTATTTGGCTAATAGGCTGCATTTTTCATTGGTCACTGCAGATCTGCCCCAAAGGTAAAAATCGATGTTTACTTTTGCTTTTGAATTATTATATACCATGACCTAATAGAATTATGAAAGATTATTTAGGCATCACTCACCTATGAATCTGTGATTACATATGTAGGAACCATACAAGTCATGGAAAGTATATTAGGAGTGATACAATATTTAATAACTAAACATTCCCAGAGTAAGCTTTGTGGAAAGGTTGCTCATTGTTTTATGTTAAAACTTCTAGCCCACTCCTGGCACTAAAATAAGCTCCATCCCTTTTTACGGCACTTATTTCATGTTGGTGTTATGAAACAGTGTTCTGTCACCAAAAGTTCTTTCTCAACAGATCAGTCATTATAAGGCTATAAATGGCTGCTGCTAATAAAGGGGGATTTAGTGCCATTTACAGTGAAGCACCTAAGGAGTTCTCCCCAAGGTACCTTGACTAAAGAACCTGCAATCATAAGGAATGAACCTTGTGGCAGACTGAAACTGTAACATGTAGACTGTGGGAAAGAGGGTTTGAAAGTAGATCTCACAATGGACAACCTTTTTTGTCCAGAATTTCCTCTGCTAAGATAATCAAACTTAACTTGGAATGTAATGACTTTTGAAAAGCTGCTTTCAGGATCAGTCCTGAATCTGAACTTTATAGCAGATGCACCTTCAATGTGTTACATATGCCCTCTTTACACACTTAATTCTCAGATGTGCTCATAGATGACTTGTCAACATAAGGTGAGATAGTAAGAGTTGTCGATGACTGAAACAATGAGGTATATAAACCATTCCATCATGAAAACCTATGGACCAGAGTAGAATTGCCATGGCCAGCCCTAAAAACAGTTCCACTTAGAGCAGCTGCAACATCTCACAGCTCATGGGTTTATTTTCTTCTTTCTCTGCTGCAGGCAGCAGAAATCTATTTTGGACTAGGCAAAAGGATAGTACAGTAACTACAGCCTTAGTCAAAACATCAAAAGATACAACTGTCTCTGGGAGGGACTTGAAAAAACTTCCTGGACTAGAATTCCCATTCATAAGACTGTAGTTTGTCTGCTTATTTATTTGATTCATACCCCATCTTTCCATCAAGGAGCTGGCACTCAAGATGGCTTTTTGTCATGATGACAATGAAAATATTTAAGGAAAAAACTTTGCAAATTTTAAAAATAATAATATTTTAGGTTTATCTAACTTAATATATTTTAGGTATTTTGTTATGTTTTACATATTTTAAAATATTGAAAATAATTGTTAATATTTTAATCTCCTACAAAATACCAGATCAGTAAAGTTGTCTAACTAGATCACATGTATTTGAAACTGTTAGGAACATATAGAACTATTGTTTTATAATTGAGTTGATTATGAACCAAAACCACTATTTCTATTGTAATTTTACATATAATAATGAGAGGGCTATCCTAGCTCAGCATAATGTCCTTCTAAGCACATTTCATCTAATCAAATTCATACAGCATTACAGAAATCTCAGAAAGCCCTGTATTGGGGCTATCCTCAAGGTTTCTTTGGCACATGGAGGTATATTTCTACATATAAAAGTCTAGTGGAGGTATGCACTGAGTTTCTAGTTATATGATCACAATGTATATTGCTAAAACATAATTAATGCATTCCTCAAAGTAGCTTACCTTTATCCATTGTATTCTCTCTTTTCCCCTTGCCCTTCTGCTTCTACCCCTCCCCCCTCAATTACTGGCCACAAGTTCAAAACATCTGGAGAATACCACATTGAGGAAGGCTATGCTACACCAAACTAGCTTTCTCCATTGAATAAGTCTGTGGCCTGCCACATAGAAATTCTTACACAGAAGATACAATAGTCCAGTTGAATTGTGAAAATGGGTCCTTGCTATTCTGTGTTACGGCTGTTAGCCAGGCTCAGAGCTATTAGATGGTAATTCTAGAAAAAGATGATAACCAGTTGCTCAATGTTGTTAATTCCAAAACTGATACCCATTATCTTTTTTTAAAAAATAGACTATTGCAAAAACTCTGAAGATAATATGTGAGGTTTTATCCAATGAGCATGACTCCGGACCAGCCCGTATCCCCTTCAGTACTTTCCAGTTTCTCTATACATACATTGCTGAAGTAGATGGGGAGATTTCAGCTTCTCATGTCAGTCGAATGCTGAATTACATTGAACAGGAGATGTAAGTAACATATAGGTGAAGTAAGTATCACAGTGTGTGACTGTTTATGTTAGCCTGGGCAACCAGGTACCCTCTGGGTTCTTCAGACAAGTAGCTCCATAAGCTCCATGGCAAAAGGTCAGGGATTACGGAGTTGTAATACAAACAATCTTGAGGGTAGCAGGCCGCCTACTCCTGGTTTATGAAATAACTGCTAATCTATTGTGGAATGTTACAGGCATAGAGAAACCTAAAGAGCTAAATCCTCTGACTCACTCATTCACAGAAGTATGTGTATAGGATTTGCACATTAAAGAAAATAACATTAAGCAGGTTCCAACATTAAGAATGCCAGGAAAATCCTAGTTTCTAATGTTGCATGTATCAAAAAACTTGATTCTGGTGCTTAGGAACGTGAATTATTTTTCCACACTGATTGCAGATTCAGCTGATTTTAGCTGGAGTACACACAGAGCTTTGCACCTTTATCCCATTTTTCCCCATGGAGATTTTTCCTAACATTTCAGTGTAACTCTCTACTCTTCTCTCCCTGCCTCATTTTGGATTTAAGGCTCCTGTGCTGTCCATGATACCAAGAATTAATCAGTTTACTGTGTGCTCTTAAATGGTAAGAAACAGGGCAAAGGTCATGTGTAAATAGTAGCTCAGTGTTCAAGAAAAATATGGTTGGTGCCACCTTGTGGCATTCATTGGCTTGCAGTCTAATTTTCAAGTGTTACTACATGGTTTGTGTCCAATGCACCTCTTTTAAAAACTGTATGCATCTGTATCTTGATTTTCTAAAGTTACTGGAACCAAGCATGGCATTTGGAAAGACAGAATATATTGCTACAGTTGTGTGTGAGAGAAAAATTTAGAATGTTTGTTTGATAAAGAACAAGTATTGCTGATTGAGCAAACCTGTATTTTTATGTTCTTTACACAGCATCGGGCCAGACGGCTTGATCAAGGTGAATGATTTTACCCAGAACCCTCGGGTCAGGCTGGAGTAGATTCTCAGTACATGTTAGTAGGACGAAGAAGAAACAGAGGATAGAATAACAGTTACAAATAGGCCAGCCTCTCCGCCTCTTTTTTCCCTTTGTGTCCGTTAATAAACAGTTTGGCAAAGCAACCAATAAGAAAGATGGAAACATAGATTGAGAAAGTACCACTGAAGTAGAGTTCTGTCTGCTGTTAACTTTCTAATGCTATGATATACACACGTCTACCCAAATAAATATAATAGTCTACTAAATACAAACCTATTATATTAAATATATTTGAGGTCCACCCTCCTCCCCTCTTGTTGCATTTTAAACTGTCTTGCAGTACAATGTATATTTGCTGGAATGTCAAAAACATCTTCAGGAAAAAATGTCAGAATTGCTTGCATGGCTTTCATAGTTTCCGAGCTTTCCTTAGTTATGCAAAACAGTAAACTGTTAACTTTGCTGTCCACTATCAGGATTGTTCAGACACATATTTATCCAGGTATAGGGCACACCTCTTACATCGAATGCATTGGCTTTAGAATTCACTTGGCTATAGTAAATAAATCATACTAGCAGATACAACTGTGACTGTCACATGTCAAATAAATTCACAAAGGTAATACAAGGATGTTCTGGATGAGGTATTTATTATGCAATTACCTTGCCTCCAACAGAGATTTCCTGGAAAGGTACAGCTGTCTTCACCTTGTATTATGATCCATGTTTTCCTAGCATTTCTTCCCTTTTCTAATTACCATAAAAAATTGTTAAGGAGAGAACATCAGAGCAGTTGGATGGATGCATTTTGACTGTAGGGCTAGGAGCTGTCCCTCTGGAAGCACCTGTTGGGAACAGCATGACTCTTGAAAAGTATTATAATCTTTGTATCTTTTGCCATATGACAGAATGTTTATCCTCCAGTTCCATCTAGGGAAGATTTATAAAAATGTTCTTATACATATTTATATTTCTATCTTGGTAATGTAAGTAACTGAAGACCTGGAAATTTATGGCTCCTTCCTTAAGTGCAAAACAGGTACGCACTGCATTAAGAAATCATATCATCTAGCCTGTGGATGCCCCAGTGGGTGGTGATTCAGTTCTCACTCTGAAACCCATCTTACCTTGCCTTCAGTCATTTCCCATTATGAAACATACCTTCCTAAAACCTCAGCTGTTGCCAAATGATTCCCAGTCTCCTTCCCAATTTACTCCAATACAATGAGGAACATCGCTTTGCAGGACGAACTTTCTATACAATTAGTCCAGCCTTCTCCAAGGTGGATACTCCATCTGTGTGGGACTACAACTCCCATAATGCTCAGCCAGTATATGGAAGACACTGGGTTGGGAAAAACTGATTTAACAAATGAAGCTAATCCATGCTGATATCATTTTTTTATACTTATTCCTGTCCAGAAACAAAGGCTCTCACACACACTCTTCAACCCAAGAGTATGCTAACTTATTAACAAAACCCAGTAATGGAAAGTTGCTTACTTTTTAATTTGTACTGATGAAAGCAGGTAATGGCTCAAGAAACTTTTATGTAAATTTTGTGCATTGAGTAACCTTTCCCAGAGGACCTGGATTACGGTCAGAGAATAAGGTTTTTGCACCATAAAAAAAGATGATGATGCAGACAAACCTCTGTACTGCCTATAATTTTTATCCTTTGCTATACTTCATGATGCAACTGAATGTGGGTGTTTCTGGAAAGTACGAAATTATTAATGGGGAGCTACAGTGAAGCATACACAGAAAACAGAAGGAACATCCTTTAGGTGGGGAACAACTCAGAATACAGGCAGTTATATTACTTTTTTTTTAAAGCTTCCCCTTATCTAAAACTTCCTAAATATTGAAATAGAAACTGTCCCCATATATGCATTTTGCAGTGATACCTTCCTGTAAGAATTAGTTCTTTTTTCTGACTGGTCTTCCCAAGGTACATAATAGTATTATACCTAATATCAAACTAGCCTACTTGCAATTATTTGTTTTGGTAAAGGCCTGTGAAAGCTTGTAAAAGACTGGAGTGGAATTGCACAGTACAAGTACCTTCCTCATTTTTTCAGTAGTTAAAGCAGGTTCTGCTGGCAAAAAAAAAAATATGGAGAGGAGTTAAACCTTTATTTCTGAATTCCTCATTTGCTTAAAGCAGCTTACTCTCCATGTACCTTTTCCCCCTGAAAGACAAAAGGTTTGGGGATTTGTGTCTATCACCTACAGAAATGCAGGTGGTGGTGTTTCCTATGTTTAATGCAAACCTTTCTAGTGCAACTTTCCCTAATAAAAATTTGTGGAATATAAATAGGGCACTACTGCAAACAAAGGTTCCATGTCTTGCCTATAAATCCACAGTCAGGGAGCCTTTCCATGCTAAATCTGTTTCACAGTGTGTGTGCAGCGGGGGCGGGGGGGGGGTATTCTCCCCATTCACACCAAATCTTCTGTAAGAACAGGTCATCTGAACTTATAATAGCCCATCTCTTGAGGCTTCCCTGACTAGGTGTAACTTCCAGAAAACACTGTGTCACCTCTTGGTTGGTTAATTTCCTCTACTTGTCAAACATAACCCATGCCAGGCATACCAAATCAATATGAAGTGCTTTTACTATGTTTTGCCATACATTCAAGAACATTCTTTTGGTCTTTTCCTTTTTTGATACTGATATTATATAAGTCTGTCTAGAAACTGATTAGTTAGAACTGTTTTACTTGCTTTGCTGCTTCCTGTTTTCCCCACTCTTGAATTGAAACAAGAACTGAAACCCTAACTCATGAGGATTGAGACCTGTGTCACAGAGGAACAATGGGAGGATAGATCACCCCCCCGCCCCCCGCAGCCTGCTACTGCCTTGGCTGCCCATACTTGGGCACACCTGCAACCACCCATATTTCAGTCAGTGTTTCCTCCATTGCCTACTGTAATGGTAAGGGCATTAAGCCATAGAGGGAGAAGAAAGGGTTAAGGGCTATAGCAAGCTGGCCAGGCACAGGTGGCCACTTCAAGGACAAGCTGGGGCCTAGGTTGGAAAACATCTGAGAGTATGGAGATTCTCAAGGATAGTCATGTCCTTCCCAGGGGTGGATTCCAGTTGGAGACTCTGGAGATGTCACCTCAGAGATCAAACGGTTCTGATTGCCTGGTGCCTCCTTAGGGAGCAAATGGTTCCAATCCTTTGATGTCACTCCAGAGAACAAAGGATTTTGATTGCTTGGGGGAGGAATAAAAGGAGGGCTTTGAGACCAGGCTGCACACACTTTTGTGGCAGAAGGAGGGACACCTACTGTCGGAGGTTCTGCTGTTGGAGTCTGGGGCCATTATTCTTGAAAAGACCTGTTAAGTACAGTGTGAGTTGTTAGGTTTTAGATTAGCTAGCTTTTGTTCTTTTAGGGTCTGGGGTGGTCAAATGGCGGGAGGGGGGTATACCTGTGTTTGTATTCCACCGATTAAAAGCTGCTAACCCATTTCCTTCTCCCCTCCCCTTTTCCCCTGTGTGGTTGAAGTTGTTTGTACTTTTCATTTGGATTGTGTGTGTTCTAGTTTAATAAAATTCCTTTCTCCCCCAAGACTTGGGTCAGCGTGTGCTGGCCCATTGCCTTCCATTTCACTAAGAGCTGGGGGTGGGTTTTCCTGGCCCCTGTGGCCTGCCTGGAAGTGGGGACTCCCAGCAGTGTTGGTGTTGGGGTAGTACCTCACTGTTACATTTACAGCCACTCCTCCATTTTCAACCACCACCTCTCCTTTCAGCCACTGCCTCTGCCCTTTGGGATCAGCCTCATAATGGAAATTAGTTCTTTTTCTCCAGAGCCTGGAGACAGTACATCACTAGTTAAAAAAAGTATTTTTTAAAACAAGTTTTCCTACCTTGATAAGGCAGTGCCTACTCAGATCACACTCTGATGCTCGATTCTTTGACGAAGGACACATCCATCTTCAGAGAATGAAACATTTGAGTGATATTTTAGATGATTTTCCAGCTTGACTCAACCATAGAAGAATTGCTGCCTTGCTGTGGCAAAAAAAAAACTTCTTTAAAATGTTTTCTCCACCATAGCAAAGTGGCATTCCTACAGCTAAATCTTACACCATCTTAGATGTCCTTTCTTAATGAGCAAGACTCCAGGTGTGAGTTTTGACATGGTGCAACAGGTGAAGCTTTAGTTTGCTGCACTGAGAAAAGAATGCCCTGGTGATTGCTTGAACAGCAACAGTTCTGCCTGCTGCAGTCCCGGTCTGAGGAGGAAGAAAGTAGCTTTCCTGTTTTCAGCAACTTTAATACACCTTTTAATTTGAACTCTGGAACTGATTGCACAGCCTGCCATGCATAAAGGATCTGTCCAGCTTATATGTGTAGCTTGATGGTTCACACTACAGGCATAGAAGAAATTTAAGGGAATCACAGAAAGGGCCACGGTTGCTTACAACCAAAAGGGAGGAAAATAAATACTTTAAGTTATGGTTTCTCCTAACCAAGACTTTTGTAAATAAGGAAATCACAATTACTGATGTGTTTCACCACCTTCTGCCTCTCATGGTAGCGGCAACGGCATTTTTGCAGATACTGCAGGGAAGGTAGTGGAGGAAAGATTTTTAAGTGTACTATACAGCCTGTCCTGCACCTTCAGGTTATCTGCTGTCCTCAGGTAAAGTAGAAAAAGGCAGCACTGTGTAAGATCCAGCAGTCAGTCCCTTTAGCTTCTGAAGATGGAGTAGTGGTGGGCCTCTTGTCCTTTACCTCAGGCAGCAAAATGTCCTGAGCTGATCTTGTTTTGGGGACACAAAGCTGTGTTGCTTCAGGCACAAACACCAACACTGAAGAAGCTTTGGTATGCTGCATCAGAAGCTGAGGGCAGACGCTGAAAGGGAGAAACCCAGTAGTTGCATTCTGTCTTATTGCTTCTCTCCTGAATAATTCAGGCTCTTTTCATGACTGATGTTGTTTTTCAGGTGCCCAGGCGATCCATTCATACATCATTTGCTTTTTCCTCCAAGTTGTTTCATGTTATAA